ATTTTAGCAGGGACTCCCAAGGTTTTACCCCTAGCTGAGGAACTGACAGATGAGGATGGAAAGTTACATTTTTATTTTTAGTGTAGCATCTAGTTGGCTTCCCACGCCCCCACTGGATGACTGACACTCTACTCATATAGGCAGCACCAATTGGAATCAATGGATTAGTTAAATAAATTAATAATTTTAAAAAATACATAAATTCGGGCTGGAGAGATGGCTCAGTGGTTAAGAGCATTGCCTGCTCTTCCAAAGGTCCTGAGTTCAATTCCCAACAACCACATGGTGGCTCACAACCATCTGTAATGAGGTCTGGTGCCCTCTTCTGGCCTGCAGACATACACACAGGCAGAATATTGTATACATAATAAATAAATAAATATTAAAAAAATACATAAATTTGGGAAGATGATGGGATGGGAGGTACTATAATCTTTAGGAGGATGGGTCCCAAAATCAGAACGACATCATATTTCCCATATGGAACAAACAAGGCCTTCAGAATTCTTAAAGCACACCCAATTCAGAAATCTACACAGAGCTAAACAATCAAGTAAAAACAATTAGCTCTTTTTTTTTTGCTCTCTCAAATACTCTTTTGCAAGCAGTTACAAGGGTGAGCAACATATGAAAGCAGACAGGAAAGAGAGAACACAGGAGAGAAGGGAAGAGAGCTGCCAGGTTGCTGGCAACTGAAATGTCCTGAATCACAGCTGTGGAGCAAACTCAAGGCAGTCTATCCTTATTGAGAGGAGGGGAAGGAGAGGGGGGAAGGAAAAGGGGAAGTAGAAAGGGGAAAGAGAAAGGGGTAGGAGAAGGAGGGAAGGAGAGGGAGGGAAGGAGAAGGAGGGAAGGAGAGGGAGGGAAGGAGAGGGGGAAGAGAAGGGGAAGGAGAAGGAAGGAGAGGGGGAAGGAGAAGGGGTAGAGAGAGGTAGGAGAGAGGGGAGGAGAGGGAGAAAGAGAGGGGGAAAGAAAGGGGGAAAGAGAAGGGGGAAAAGAAGGGGGAAGGAGAAGGGGAAAGGAGAGAAGAAGAGGGGAAAAGAGAGCTCACAATGCACGTTTTTAAAAGGAAATAAAACTGACTCAATATTTTATGTCTAACTGTATACAAGAATGTTCATTCATTCTAGTGTATAGAAATAAATTTGAATACAAAGGAAAAAATTAAGAAATGAAAAAGGTGGAAATACAACAAGTAAGTCCCAAAAGTAAATGACTGGCTCGTTTATGAACAACTAAACCAGAGGTTCTCAACCTGTGGGTTACAACCTCTTTGAGGGTCACCTAATACCATTGGAAAACATAGATATTTGCACTAGGATTCACAACAGTAGAAAAATTACAGTTATATAGTAGCAATGAAAATAATTTCATGGTTGGGGTCACCACAACATGAGAGACTGTATTAAAGGGTCACAGCATTACAGAGTTCAGAACCACTGCTCTCAACCCTGAATAGCCAGGAGACTTAAGAGAAAGAATTACTAAAACCAGGTGGCTGTTGACTTAGAATGGTGACTTTGTATATGGGTGACAAGAATCAGAGGGGAAATGTGAGCATGATGGATTGTACAGATGCGTGGACAGGCATTAGCAGCAAACTACACAACCATTTGAAGGAATTACAAGGTCCAAGAAACATAAGATTAGTTCAAATATGGTGCTAGCAAAAGAAGCAGAGAAAGATTTCAAGATCTTTGCCAAAGTGGGACTTGTACACACAGATGGAGAAAAAGGATTGACATTTACACCGCATGCCTATTAATACTATTGGGCTTTTCACACCGTGGAAAAATAACTTCTAAAAGCTTTGCATGTTTTATGAGTCTAGAGGCATCTGCAGTTAGACTCTCATCAGTCTCTGTCATTTCTATGTCACTAACAATATTAATCTATACTAGAAGTTTATAAATGTACCTGATTCAAGGTATTTTTTCAATGATTCCTCAAGTGAAGGAACAGGCAATGATGGGAGAGAATCCTGGTACTGAAATGTCCGTTCTTCAACTGACTTTGCCAGTTGATTTTCCATGATATAATCACAGTAGAAAAACTGAAGAAAAGAAGAACAGCATCCGTCACAACTTCAACTTTTTAAGTATTTGTAAACTTGTCGGACAAAGAAAACCAACTTTAACATTAATTCAATATGCTAGGTGATATGGGGGGGTCTTCTGTCTATGTGTTACTTTCATTGGTTAATAAAGAAACTGCCTTGACCCTTTGATAGGACAGCAGCTTAGATAGGCAGAGTAGACAGAACAGAATGCTGGGAGAAAGAAGCAGATTCAGGCAGTTGCCATGATTTTCCAACCCAAGACGGATGTAGGCCAGAATCTTTCCCGGTAAGCCACCACCTCGTGGTGCTACACAGATTATTAGAAATGGGTTAAGCAAGATATGAGAGTTACCCAAGAAGAGGCCAGATATAATGGGCCAGGCAGTGTTTAAAAGGATACAGTTTCTGTGTATAATTATTTCGGGGCATTAGCTAGCCAGGCGGCCAAAAAATGCAGCCCACCACTCCTCACTACAGCTAGGGAACCAAAGCATCATCAGCGGGACCAGCAGCCATCCTCATCAAACACCAGATAGTTAGCGCAGTGTGCTACAGAAAACATGCTCGCATATGAGAACCAAAATCTCCGATTTAGTCATTGGTTTGAGAGGTCGTCCTTGGTACCCAGGCAGATCTGTTAGGTTGTAATCTCTCCTTCCACAAGGCAACATTACAGAACATTAGGGAACCTCCAGAGTCTTACTGGGTAGGTAGGATTAGGTGTGTAGGAAAATATTATGTCTGAAAAACAATGCAGACGTGTGGAAGAGTAGGTCATAGATGTTACATACTGTAAGACTTCATGTGACAAGCTGATCTAACTTAAAACTGTGCAGATGGCATGGGACCTAATCAGACTGGCTTTGAGTATCACAAACCAATCTTAAATATGTTCTAGATTTGTGATATTCTTGTCAAAATAAAACTAATCCCATTTAAGATTAGGGTATATTGGTATTAAATAATAAGATTTCTGAATGAATAATTTATAAATTCCATAATAAAACAGTAACTAAGAAAACAAGAAATTAATATTAAACGAAAACTTTCTGCCCTTTCATATCATATCTTAAAATGGCAAAGCTAAATATTCTACTTGTGTTATAAAAGTTAACAGTATCAGAAACAAAGGCAAGGCAGACTATTTTGGCTAATACCTTAGGACCTCAAAGTTCAGCCTCTTCTTAATGGTTTTCCTTACATCCCATCTGAATATTGATAAACCGCTTTGGACTTAACAGAAATGTAGTTCTTGGTCCTAAAAATAGACTCAGCTACTTTTTAACCATTTGCTGCTAGGTAAGTGACTGGAAAACACTGGGAGCATTTATTTGGTGGTGGTGGGCTGTCACAGCACACATGTTAAAGGAAACTTGCAGGAGTTTCTTCTCCTCTACCTTGTGGGTCCTTTGGACTCACACATGGGTTAGCTGACTTGGCTGCAGGTGCCATTATCTAACAATACATCTCAAAGGACCTCAAAATTTGCCCTTTTTATTTATTTACTTATTTTGAGACAGAATCTCACTATATACCCCTGGCAGGCCTGAAACTAGCAGTGTAGACCAGGCTTGCCTGAATTGACACGGATCTGCCTGCCTCTGACTCCCTGGTGCTCGGATTAAAGGTATGTGCCACTAATACCCACCAAACTCTAGGCAAGTAAGTAATAGAATCTCTTTACCTTTGAATGTATAATCATACTGTCATCAGATTTTTTATTTTGGCATGCCCTAAAAAGCATGCCATAAAAACAGTTCATCCTGAAACAAGTATATTATGGACTAGAGTATGCAGAAATTTTTATGATGACCTCAACTGCTACCTACACTCTCTATTTCCCAGAACTCGTCATTATGATAGAAGATCATTACTCCTATGGTTGCAACTGGGTTTCAGCTACGAAAAAAAAAATGAGCTTAAATAGTCAGGACTTAACCGAATTATTTGAGTCCGTGAGGTAGAGATGCTGCCATTTCTATGTCTACATCCACGACCTGGAGGAACTCAGAGGCAAAAAAGCGCTAACAGGAATGGGATCCTCAATCCTGCAAGTGAGCAGGAATTAAATTCTGCCAACTCGAATGAACCCTAAAACCTCAGAGAATAACTCAGGCGCCTTGATCTCTCCTTTTGAGATTCTGTGTAGGATAAACAGCTAAACTCACTCAGACTTCACAGAAGCTCAGTCTGTTCTTTTAACTGCCTGAGATCATCTGTTGTGGTAGCAACAGGAAACTAATATGGCAAGCCGCTCTCTTTCCACTTCCCTGTCACTTAACAGACCCCCCCAAAGCCGAGAAAGAGAATACTAATTTTATGACCACTGTGCTGCTTAAACCCTGGACCAGGTAAAGCAGATTCGCTAAGAGTTGTCTTAAGTTTTCGACCACATAGATTAAGTTAAAGGATTACAATAACATTAAGAACACTATTACTATGGGTTTAACTAGAGTGGATTTCCTGAGAGTAAGGTAATGTGAACTCAAAGAAGCAGGAACAAGAACCAGGAAGAGTAAGCAAACAAAGTGTCACATACCAGTAAACCAAGATGAAGTGTTCAGGACTGCCAGAAGCTCCAACAATTCTGATGTGAAACCACTGGGGCTTGAACAAGGCTGGGGACTGTAGGAAGAATTGCGCTGAAGTAAAGACCAGAAAGTGAGGGGAAAGGAAGTGAAAGAAGCTGGAGAAACAGAAGAATGGTCATCTGTTAGCTTAAATCGCTGCAGAGCTAGCTATGTTCCAGGCATCTAATTAGATGGACCCAAGGGGCACAGAGCACCTTCCGGTACCCGCACTTAGGCTGAAACAGAAGCAAAAGCAGCAAGAAAGTTCAGAAACTCCTCCCACCAACCCAAGGGCAACTCGGCGCAGGGGATGAGGACAAATCGGGGAAAATTAAGGAACAAGCACCCCGACCCGCTAGCTGGACGTTGCAATGGCGGGGGGCGGGGGGGGGGGGATATCCCGGACCCGAAGGGCGAGATGCCTGCGGACGCCACACCCGCGCCAGACCGGAGTTTCTGAGGCGCTGCCCGACTGCACCCTGCTCGGCTTGGCGCAGCTCCACTGCCCCTTGACCGCTCGCCGCCGTGGGAGGGAACGGAGGGAGCCGGCTGCACGCTCACCTTCACCTCCGCCCCTCTCAGGGTCCTCGGCAACGACGGCCTGCCAGCCCTGCGCAGCCCAGGAGCCCAACTAGGACGGAAAGCCGCGAGGGTCCCGCCCCGCGCACGTCGGGGAACGCGATTGGACGGAAAGCCTCGAGGGTCCCACCCCGTGCTGGAAGGGGTGGGTTGCCGGGGCTCGCTGCCCCGCCCCCGGCCCTGGCCCCGCCCTCGGCGGTTTTCCGGGCCCGGATTGCGCCCTAGGAACGCGAGCAGAAAATCCGATTAGCGTCCTGCAGTCCCTGCTAAAGCATCTTCCTGCTGGACTCTGCGGCACGTTGGCCGCGGTCCAGAGAGATGGCGGCGGCTCCGCCCACGCACGGGCACAACCCTGCGGAAGGGTAAGGAAGCCCACGGCTCAGCCTGGTTTTTCACTCGACCTCTCCGCTGCAGGGCGCCGTGTCCCGGTCTCTTCTCACGCCCAGTCGTCCCTCCCCCTAGCGAGTGCGAGCCTCCTTTGCAGGTTCATAGCTTGCTTACTGATAAGACTTGTGAATTTAATGGAATGTAATATATAGTACTAATCTGTGGGGTAGATTTTTACTCTGAATTTACCCCAAATAAGCAAGTTGAAGAAATACTTATTGAGTTGAGAAGTATCAGCTCAGGACCCCCAGTGCCAACTTCTCAGCACAAAGGAGATGTATTTGCCCCAGAGAGACTAAGGGCAGAGGATGAGAGGCAAACACAGGAGGATATAGGGGACAAGGCAGGATGGGAAGGGAAGAAGGGAAATGTGGCAAGGGTATTTGTCCTGGAGGGACAAAGGAGTGTCTGAATAGAGAGGAGACAGATGTGGCATAGAGGAAAATGGAGGTTTAAAAGGTACAGAGGGAATGATGAGGTGTTTAATTTTAATTAGGCATGTTTACTAGGTGAGCCAAAGGGGGCTTTTGATTGCTGGACTTCGATACTTTGATAGCTGAACCTTGGTAGGCAGCCTCGGGAGGAGGAAGTGGCCAAGTAAGGGAGTAGATCCCGGGGTCTAGCTAGGAATGTGACCTAATGGAGGAGTGGGGGAGAAGGGCAAGGCCTGCCAGAGCCATACTCATGATACTCAAGCTGTCCAGAGTCCCTTCGCTTATATTTTCTTATTTTTAATGACAGGAGGTTGCATAGGTGTGGTTATTTTGAGAAACAGCCGATAGCAAACTAAAGTATGCTAGATACAAAAAGTTAACTGTGCTGTCTCACTGGGCCCTCAGAGCACATGCACCCTGTTTCACATATGGGCTCACTTTACCACCAGCCACAGACTTTGTTTGTCATTGATGATATTTATTTATATGAAAGTCTGCCCCCCAAGTCCTGGAGGAAGTGTTGATTTAACGATGACCTTTTCACATCTCAGACAAGTTCCTTATGGCTAAACTGAGAATTTAATTTTTACAGCTGAATGGAGGTGTAATTTACATACCAAAAATCACCCCTTTGAAGCATATAAATAAATATTTAACTATATTTACAACTACATAGTCTGTATTAATTTGCCATCTGTTCCTGTGGTAAGACAGTGACCAATTCTGTTAGATCAAGATCCATGGAAGTAAATAAATCCTTGGCAATAAAATAGACCGAGCTGTACAGAAGCAAATTGTCCCTTGTCCAGAAGTCTGTTCTGTCCCCTGTGGTCTCAAAGTTGCAAACACCGAAGGAGGTTATGTTTATCTTATCAGGTGCTTGCAGATCCTTGCCCGCTGAAGCTGTTAGCAGCATGTCAACTTTCCTGTCCAGAGTTTCTCAGCTCACCTGAGGTTTCATTAGCTCATTACAAACCAAGTTGAGGAGAAGGGGCTTATTTGGCTTGTGCTTCCACATGACTGTTTATGAGTAAGAGAAGCCCAGGCCCCAAATGAAGCAGAGACCATGGAAGAATGCTGTTGTTTACTGGCTTGCTTCCCACGGCTTGCTCAGCCTGTTTTCTTATCTCAGGACTACCTGCCCAGAAAGACACAGCACATCAATCAGGAAAAGTGCCCGCAGACACATCCACATGCCAATCTGGTGGCAGCCATTCCCCAAAGGAGGGTCCTTCCTCCCAGGTGA